TACAAGCCTGTTGCGAACACATCTTGTTGACAAGTTGTGGGATTTTTACGTGTGTAGGATGTGAACATAGCTTAGCTCGGGTATTTCATTCTAACGGTAGACGATTTTACTTGTCAGTGGGAGAGACCAAGGGCATTAAACAAATTAACTCGTTTTTTTTCTTGTTTTGTAAGCCCATTTGAAACAGTGACGGTTCGACGTACTACCGAGGTATAGTTGACAATGTTATCTGTTCATTTTAGAATCAATGAACATAGTAGTACAACGTGAATAAAAATTTAAAAGCATATATCCCACTGTACAGGCTGGCATGCAAGACGATGATGAAGATATGCGAGCCCAGTGGGAAGCAGAGAAACCTTTATCAGAAAAACTAAAGGTAAAATAATCCTGATATATGAATATCACTAGGCTACTGTATATGACTAAGATATTTTATATCAGGGATGGGAAAACTGGAGGTGTGCTAGGGTCCCCCTAGCCCTGGCCAGAGGGGGGCCAGGGGCGGGGCTATTTTTCATGATATTATCTAAAGCAAAAAATATTAGAGACAAAATGAGATAAGGGAACTGTGAACAACAATTAGGCCAAAAAAAATATGTGGGTTTCCGGTTTCCCGACCCTACCTAGCTTTTGGACGTCGAAATCCGGACCCTAAACTTTTTTATTGGATCATGCTTGTAAGTGTTTCCACTTAGAGGAAAAGGTTTGTGGAAAATTGAAATTTGAGGCAATATTAGGGAAATTTATCTTTGGATGTGGAAGCACTGACTAAACAAAATGGCGTCCGGTTGTTAGGAAAATTAAAAAAAAAAGTTTAAAAAAAAAGTTAAAACCGACCGACCCTACCTAAGTTTTTATAAGAAGAAACCGGAAACCCACATATTTTTTTTGGCCTTACAATTCAAATTTACAGTAGTTGATGGGCGGGCGGCGCACATGACCGCAGATTTACTGTACTAACTCCAGGTGTACTATACGTCCCGACGAAGGACCTTTGCTCGAAACGTCGAAGTTAGGCTTATATTTTTCAGGTAGTTGCATCCCTCTCAATCCACAAGTGCCCTGTGGTTGTTTTACACTCTTATACTCTATAGGTTGGCCCTGGCCAAGATTTTGATCCAATACCAAGTATATTATTGAGAAAGGTTAGTCTGGAATTTGACTTCACTTGGTGGAGTAACAATGTTACACATGTATAACGTGATTATTCTATTCCTACAGTACATTGCTTATGCGAGGAAGTACGTTCATCCGAAATTGTCTGCAGAAGCAGCTGACGAACTACAGGTATAATCAAGGCCGCCAAGAGGTTGCGGGGCCCCTATGACGTCATATTTGTCAAAGAGGAAAAGCGGTGTTTTAAAATATATTATACTTTTATATTACATATTATCCGACACTAACGCAGCTAGGATTTATATTCGCAGTTAAGCAATCTTGTATCAAGAAACTTTAAGGGCCTTCGTTGCCCGGAGCAAAGTGTCCCTCCCTCGGCAGCCCTGGGTATAATTCATTTAGCAGTTTAGATACATTAAGAGTACTTGTAATGTTTTATAAAAAGCTATCCTCCATTTTACAGACATTTTACTTGAATTTACGTCAAAAACATCAATCTCAGGACAGCACTCCTATCACTACGAGACAACTAGAGTCTTTAATACGACTAACAGAGGTGACAATTTTTGAAGTTCAATTTCATGCACTAAGAAATGTACTCTCATGGGTCAACTACTTTTCATATTAAAAAAAAATTTCTACTTTCCAAAACCACAGGCTCGGGCAAGACTAGAACTTCGTGAAGAATCCACCAGACAAGATGCCATTGATGTCATAGAGATCATGAAATATAGGTATGGCACACCTCATATGAAGGACATAGATAATGAGGTCTATGTCTGCATCGAGTTTTCTAATCTTCTTATTCTATTGACCATTATCTCTCGTGCTATCCTTAAGCCAGGATGAAACTAGGATGAAAGTGCATGAGAGTTGCCAGCCACGCGACATTGGTTAACTGTTCTTAATGTTTTCCCAACACTATCATGTATTCTATTTAAGTTAAAAGATAGTTAGGACACACATCAAACCTTTTATTTTGTTAATCTACAGCTCGAAATATCCCCCGTAACAATGCGTGACTGACAATTCTCATCCTCGTTTGACCGGGGTTTTGGTAGATGTGAAAACATTAATCCTATGTACTCATATTTATTTTATCACGTCAATAAAGTACGAAATGCCCCATTATTATAGTCTCGTAGATACGTATAGTGATGGCATGGGAAACCTGGACTTTAGACGCTCACAAAACGGTTCTGGCATGAGCAGAAATGCACAGGTACTTATACTGTGACAACATACTGTATAATTGTATACTAGAATAAATTAATTTCTTCAAGTGTGTCAGCAGTAACATTGATATAAATAATATCTCCCATTGTATAAGTATTCTGCTTATATTAGATTTTCTTTCAGGCAAAACGTTTTGTTGCCGAACTTGAACGAATATCAGAGCTGGAATATAATTCTCTTTTCACAATTGATCAAATGAAACAGATTGCCAAAGTATGTATGTAGCATGTTAATATGCGGTAAACAAGTTAACTTTGGATTTTCTAATCCATATAAATATCCCGAATTCATGTTACAATGGATGATTCCAGAATCCAGCTACAGACTAAATTTTGATCTAGGCAAGAAGAACAAAATCCATCACCACACAGCTAGAAAGAGCATGTTAAAATTAGTAAAATTGCAAAGTTTGGTTGCGAAATGTTGTAAAATGCGGAAAATATAGCCCTGCGAAATTTGCAAATTTTGTATTAATTTGCATTACGCGCGGGAAAATGCACCACATTTGGGCCGAAAGTTGTGCATTTTCCCGCGCGTAATACAAATTAATACAAAATTTGGAAATTTCGTATAGGGCTAACTTTTCCTCATTTTACAACATTTCGCAACCAAACTTTGCAATTTTACTAATTTTAACATGCTCTTTCCAGCTGTGGTGATGGATTTTGTTCTTCTTGCCTAGATCAAAATTTAGTCTATAGCTGGAATAATCTAAATACTGGTGCCCATTTTTCCAAAACGTAACTGTCATTATAGGTTATAGAATTAGGGTAAGGCTTCGCCAAAACTTTGATTTTTTAAATTCTTATCTTTACTGTTTTTCAGGACCTTAAATTGGGAATAAGCGGCTTTGACGATTTCATCTACTCTTTGAACAACCAGAATTTCTTGTTGAAAAAAGGAGCTCGGGTTTATCAGTTGCAAACTTCTAGTACTTTATAAAAGACAGTGCTTGTAAAAATTATCCGATGTAATAACTACAAAAACATTAAGAAATATTTATTGAATTGCAATAATTGTATGTATATAGTTGTGTAATATAGAATAATATGAAACAATATTTGTTAATATAGTTGTGTGTATAATAATATATGTGTTGAAAATATTATTCATTGTATTTGTAATATACGCGAGGATTTAAGGCTGTGAACACGTATACTATACAAGTACTACATTTTACAGTTCAATTTAAACGACCGTTCAAACCAGCAAACAAAGTTATTGAGGCCCGGTCAGTGAGCTCTATATATATCTGGAGCGAGAACTCGAGTCAAAAAAGTGACGTCATCTTCGTGTTAACCGCGCAGACAAAAACAATAAAAAGAGACTGGAACTGACGTCCAATCACTCCTTCAATAGACCTCTCTGGTAATTACGTCACAACTATACTGTTTTCAACTTAGGACCACCCTTAAATGGAATGGATTTTAAGTTTGTTTCGCACGGGCTATGGTCAGAGGAACAGAAAATCCTTTTTCAACACATACATAAAAAATAATTTTGGATTTTGACCAATAAATGTGGAAATCAGCTTAAACGTGCGAAACCGAGGCCTCTGACCATAACCCGTGAGAAACAAACTCAAAATCCATTCCATTTAAGGTGGTTCTAATTTGAAAACATTGTAGTTGTGACCGGTAAGGTCTATTTTCTCCATCTTGGCAAGGGGTATGCCGAAATTTCATATTTTGACATCGATTTAAAGACTAACACTATGGTTTTATGAATTTATGAAGTGATAACTTGGTTAGCGATCCGATCCGTTGCGATACGTCAATGGCCGCCATCTTGGTTTCACTTTTCTCATCGAATGACTAAAGTTCTTGCTCTAGATATATATATAGAGCTCACTGGGCCCAAAAACTCAACTTCCAACTCGGTTTTAAACTCGCTGTTTACAGGGGCGGATCTAGCCTCATTTACAAGGACAGTTCCATGGGGTGGGGCATGAGGGAGCCTTATTATGGTCAAGCAGATTTTTTACGGTGGTGCTGGACTTCTCTGGGCGCTAGACACCACTAGGTGGGGTGCGAACCCCCCTGCACCCTCACGGTAGATCCGCCCCTAGCTGTTTCCTTGTCATTTTTGTTGTGAAATGACGAATAGGATCGGTGTTTCTTGGTTTCCAAGAAAAACGTTAAAAGCTTGCAAATTCAGGACGTTTTGAAGGAATGTATTCCCATGGTCGTGAATGCATAACTCAACCATTTTTTAATAACTGCAAGCACACAGTACCGACATACTGTTGGCGCTACATCCTCCGCAGGCCGTAATTAACTCCCTAATTTTGTAAGGCAGAGTACGCCCGATCGCAGGTTGGAAATTTGTCACCCGCTAATATTTTACCCGCCCGCATGTTCACTCCCTAAATTTTGAAACACCTGCGGAGGAGGTAGCCTTTGTCGTATTATTCTTGACTGTACTTCTCTTGCTTCCGAGAAAACGGCATGGTCGCGATGATTTTAACATGTCTCTGTTTTTCCCAACACTCCAACAGAGATATGGTTGACCAACATTTTGACACATACCATGCCTTTTGAAGTTAACAGCATTACGTATTTAATCTGAATCGTACCTGAACATCATCCCTTCACCATTCCTATTCTGTATGTTAGCTTCGACTCTTGCATCAAAAACGCGATATACTACGTATCATGCCTTTGCCGTGCTTGCATCAGAGATTTCAACGCCCTTGCTCTGAACTCTAGTTCCAGTAACTGCGACTCTGTGTCCGCTGCACTCTTATCTTCTGGACTGTCCACTGCTTTACCAGGATTGTCTTGACGCGAAATAACATCTGAAAAATCAAAGGTGGACCTTCAAAGGAGTGCAGAAGTTGCAGACTCCTTCCCAGGCATCCTCGTTCCCAGAGCCTCTTGGCCGCGCACGACCTTCATAGAAAATGGATTATAAGAAACATGAGAAAATAATCTTGCAATTGTATATACCTTCTGGTGCAGCATTTTTCACTGGCTCTTCAATCAGTGCATCAATTTCATCCTGATCCGGTCCAACACTTAACTCCTCCATTATGTTCACTGATTCATCCTTAAATTTACAACATATAATTAAGTCCTCACACCGCCTTTCTGGGACAGCTGGTTAGTTTGGTGGCACATACTGTACTACCAAAACCATGGATGCTCCCTCATGTCATGTTTTCTTTTAAAATCATTTAATAGGAAGGCGACTACATTCCTACACCTATTTGTTAAAATGTGAACTATTTTTAACTATGTCAATACAATTTTTTGTGCACCAAACAGACATCGCCATTTCCAAGGATGTCGATTTCATGATATTAGAAATGCAGTCACATATTCCTGGATGTTTTGACACGAAAACATCGCGCATTTTTTCGAGCGAGAGGAAGGATTCACGGTTTTGGTAATACTGATGTTGCCGGTCTACCTACATACCTCACGAGTATCTGGTGCTGGTTGACTTGCTTCCACAACAGAACTTTCTTGAACAACCTCCATTGCAGACACAACATTTGCAGCGTCGTGTCCACTTTCAGATGAAGACGAATTCATTTCTTGCCCTTCAATTATTCTCAGTAATCTTTTCTTGGAAATTATTTCAAGTTGATCCAAGCAGCGAGATTTTAATTCGTCCACGTCCAATTTCTGGATCAAATTGAAAATAAGTATTGTGAAAAAGTTAAACACCAGAAATCAAACCTGTGGCCCTGTGATTCTGGTGCATTGCTCTCACCAACTGAGCTACAGAGAGCCAGTTATCGAGCTCTAACCACAAGTTCATATATAAATACTACGTAAGGTGATGCCAATGTACAGTGTATGGGTAAATATCCCCCAGCATCTACAAATCCCTTGAACAATGGATGATTCCAGCTATAGACTAAATTTTGAACAACTGAATGTTGTTCATATAAGCAAGAAGAACAAAATTCATCACCACAGCTAGAAAGAGCATGTTAAAATTAGTAAAATTGCAAAGTTTGGCCGCGAAATGTTGTAAAATGCGGAAAATATAGCCCTAAAAATATTGAAAATTTTGTATTAATTTGTATTACGCACGGGAAAATGCACCACTTTCGGCCCAAATGTCGCGCATTTTCCCGCACGTAATACAAATTAATACAAAATTAGCAAATTTCGTAGGGCTATATTTTCCGCATTTTACAACATTTCGCAACCAAACTTTGTAAGTTTTCTAATCTGAACATGCTCTTTCTGGCTGTGGTGATGGCTTTTGTTCTTCTTGCCGAGATCAAAATTTAGTCTATAGCTGGAACTGCCCATTAGTTTTATCGAATGAAATGCCCATAATCCTGATGTTTTCCCAACCTCGTTCCCAGGGTCTCTCCTCCTGTCATCTGGGAGAGACCCTGGCTGCGGCTGGTCACGTGCCTCCCAGATTCTGGGAGGTAAATTTAATTGTAACTGTGAGAGGGGTGGGAAAGGAGCGTGTTTGTAG